CGTCCGCCTGGGCGCGGGAGAGGCGAGGCGCCGGGAGGAGCGGGACAAAGGGCCGGGCGTGCGCGGGGTGGGGAAACTGCGGGCTGCTAGAAGCACCGGAGACATGGCCTGGGCCGCCGTCGGGGTGCCACGGCCCGGACTGGGGGTCTGAAGGAGCTCTGGGGAGACTCGGGGGATGCAGGGCATTTGGATTCATGCAGTGTCACCCATGAAACGAATGCGGAAAAAAGGTTTTGCGACTGCTGTCTTGGGTGCAGGATGTTGGTTGGGAAGCGGAGAGAGCCGGCTCTGGGCAAGTTGTCCTTCGGCAGGGGCAATGGCTACACCCCCGCGCACCCCACACACACCACCACCACTACTTCTTTTCCTTGAGTTTTGCATATACCCGATTCCATCCAGTTCTGAACATTAATTTTTAACCCTGGGCACGTGATTGTGAACACACCTAAGCAAGCAAGAAAAGTGCAGCAAATACAGGCTGGGAAATAGAATCTTTCCTCTGTAGTCTTAGTGGATGCCCGTGTGCGTTCCGTGGGTGCTAACTCTAGACACTACAGTCTGAACGATAGTTGTTGGAAGCAAATAGTACTGCCTGTGGGCATTCACGACAAGTTAACTTTTAAATAAAAGTATTAAAGTTTTGAAAGGAGCGGGAGAAGACTTGTTCAAATGAAGGAACACCATCACCCCCCTCCAGAATACAAATTAGGTTTGCTTTCCACCACCTCAGGAAAAAGCAGCTGATAAAAATTGTTTGTTTTACTGCGCACTGAGCGACACCAGTAAGAATTCAGAAACGGCTGTGGCTGGTGCAAACTCCCGGTGGTTCAGTGTAGGTACTGGAATAGGGCTTGCTTCTCTCGGCTCCTGAAACTAAACTTGGGGGCTCCCTGTGCGCTCCTCAGGAACAGGTAGGCCCAGAATCCTCTTCACATGGCCATGTGAGAAAGAATTGAATTTATAGATGAAGTCAGCTGTGACCAGAAGCCCTATGTGAAAGTAGTATCAGGATATTTATTACACATTGTTTCAAGATCCTACTTGGGCATGAGAGCATTTGCAACAAGTTTAGAACCGTGTCTTCTATAAAGTCTGTCAGAAGTGGAATGGAGGTGAAGTGGGGAGAAGGTACTTAGAAATATGCCCCCAGAAACCACTGTGTTTGTTTGTGAAAGTGTTTGTAATCATATGCACCCCATCTGCATATGAAAAGGTTATTTTACTTGCAGTTTTCCTAGTTAAATCAAGTCAAGAGGTAACTTGTACTGTCCTGTGCTTGAACTGTGAAGTAAGCCTTTTTCCAAGGTACCTAATATGGATCTTATTTTTGTAACGCTGACGACTTATTCAGGTGGATGGTGAATATGGATGCGTTTTCTGGTTGTAGCCTAAGTGTCCATTAATGTGATGTGTCAGAACATTTTTGTCCCCAGTCTGCAGCGGTTAACAGTCTCAGGTTCTCCCACATATCTCTTCTCTTAGATCCCTTAGGATTTCATCCACCAGGCATTATTCATGCATGACTCCCACAGACTCCAGAGAATTTGTTTCTCATGTTCTCAACATCCACAGTTTTATGCACTCTGTTCTTGTTCTGCTGCCAGGTTTGTCCCAGGCTCAACTCAGTTTACCTAAAATCTGATAGAGAAGAAGCTAAAATTCATTTGACCCCAAGATTGTGTTTAGGGTTGCTGGACTTGTAAGTGCCCTGCAGTTTCCTGTACAAGACTATAATTCTTAAACTATTATGTGATTAGGTCTGTTTTGCCTTCACAGCTTCTGTGATTCAGGAAAATGAGAACAAGCCTGACTACAGAGTATTCACAGAGCTTAGTTCATTTTTAGGCATTCGCTTTAGGATTTAACATGGTTTCAAAGTTCTGTAGCCCTGACCACTGATTCCATGGAAGACCCTCCTTGGTCATCTTTCCAAATGGTGTCCAAAACCTGTATCTTTGCAAACTTTCCTGCCGTTTCTGTCATTACTGTTTATAGCAGCTGCAGGAATTCACAATGTGTACAATAGAGAATATGTGACCTAAGGATGAGGTTTTCCCTCCCATCACTTGTTTGCCGTAGGAGTTAAATCATTCTCTCAATCAGTGGCCCTGGTGAGGAAACCTGTATTGTTGTAGTTTTCAAGACTAAAGTGCTGAGAAAGAGATAGTAGTCACTGTACCCAGTCTCCAAAGAGATTGTTGTTTGCATATCTGTTAATGTGCAAAGTCCTGCCACTGAGGGCCTATGCGGTGGCAGAATCCTCAAAAAGTGTAAATGTTTTCAAACAGTGGCTCATATTGAGTGGTAGAAGGTGGAATGTGTAACCCATTTATGAATCAGATACCCAAATCCAAAAAGGAATACAGTTTTACGTATTACTAAGCATGGTGAAAAAATATTTTCTTACCTTTATTTTCCATTCTTCCCTGCCAGTTAGGTGAAATGATACATGGAAATAGTTGGAAACCTTAGCAGATAATTTATGTATATGAGGAATCTTTATGCAGCAAAAGCTTATTCCTAAACATTGTAGACCTAAATTTTCTTCATGCAGACTCAGGTAAAATGAGGATTAAGATTTGAAAATCTTCATTCCTTTTTTAAGGGATGAGTCTTCCAGGCAGCTCCGCAAGGATAAGGTGATTCATTTATGAAGGTGAAAGAGAATTTAAAATTATGTAACTCACGAGTTACTTTTCCAGCTGTGAGATTATTAATGTTTTCGTTACATCTGTGTATACCTTAGACAAGTGTTTATGTTTAAATAAACAAGTATAGCACAGGCTTACCCAGGGTTTATAAAAATGGGAACAATAATTATTTGTCTCCTGAGAAATTACTCCATTATCATGTGAGTTGAGAAGTTAATGTGAAGCCACCAACCTAATTTGAAAGCATCATAGTGGTGCATCATTGGTTGAGTCATTAATGATGATGAGTCGGGACAGGCTGCAAATGCCTCAGGAAAGACCATTAATGGACAGAAGGGTTGTTTCGCCTCAGGCTTTTCTTTGGGGCCTGTCCTGAGAGCATGCACACCCAGCCATCCCTCCACGCAGTTCTTGAAAGCTGCCCTCTGCTGGAGTCACAATGTGTACAACAGAGAATTTGTGACCTAAGGATTAGGTTTTCCCTCCCAGCACTTGTTTGCTATAGGAGTTAAATCGTTCTCCCAAACATGGCCCTCTTGCAGACTGATCAGGGAACGCCTGTCTGCCAGACAGGTGAGAGATTAGTGTGATACATTTTCCTTTTTCTTTCCCCTCCTCCTCCTCCATCCTCCATAATTCCGTGAATCGATGCTCGTGAGAAGTAAATGACAGCACAGACACTGTAGTCAGCCTGATCCCTGACCTGGACTTCTGTGATACTGAAAAATTATAAAGTTAGGGAATCCTGGACTTGTAGAGACCAGAGCTGAAAAGACCAGCTGAAGAGATCATCTGGTTGAGGTTGCTATTCAGAGAGTTTTTTAACCACCCTAAATAAACATTTGGTAAAGGAGTAAACAACTTAAGAAGCTTGTAGCTTTAATATAGACATCAGTTTAAACCTATTTAAGGGCTTGAGAACCTACAGCTGTATCTTCTAATTTCTGATTAGATATTTTTAAAAATACCTAAGCCTAATCAGTTTGAAATAATTTGATGGGCATTAGTTCCTAAAAGTCTGTATTCGTTTCTAAATCTGAATTAAAGAGTTTTTTAATGCAATTTTTAACTTCTAGGGTTACATAGAAGCTTTCAGCAAGATATATTATGCTGTAAGAACAAAGTCCTTATCACACAAGTTAGTAAATAGCGTTTAATTTTATAGAGAACTTGGAAGCAGAGTTGCAATCTAATAGAAATTGGGACTTTTTAAGTCTCTGTAAAGTTTATTCTTCAAAGTTAAAGCTTCACCCTGTCCTGTTGGGTTAGCAGTTTGTTTTATTTTGTCTTTTTTCTTATAGATGGCTGGATTCTCCTTCACTCCTGGCTAAATGAACAGAATTTAAGTTGTAAGAACTCTGTATTAGTAATATTCTATTATACAGTAGACTCTTTAGCATCCTCAAACAGGATTCTATGATTCATAACTGATCTCAAAGGTTCTTAAGGCATAATCATTCATCATTTTGCCAAAGAATACATTTGGTCCTGTATATTGAGAGGTGGGAGTGAGACTGTGGCTGATCAAAGAGGATATTGTAACTGCCATGTTCTTCATGCACACTGAAAATATTCTCTGTAGCTGATAATAATACATGGTATAATACTACTTCATCTCCTACTCTCTCTTCCCCAAGAATCATATTTTAAAAATGAACACTTGGCAGCTTGGACCTCTGCTTTCTGTGTTTTCTTTCTTAAGATAAGCTGAAGTAAAACTTGGCTTACCATGTCTGCTGCTCAATGTAAGCCACATTAACATTCTCCACATTACTCAAAGGGAGGAGAGGATGGTACACTGGGGCCCAAGATACAGCCATGTGGGAGATACGTCACTCCTCCTAGCCTATGTCACACTTGGCAGGGATTCTGGTGTAAGTGGGGCATTTAGTCACCTAGACAGTAACTTACGTGAAGAAAAGGCTGCTTGAGTCCTAAATAAGCCCAAGGGCTGAGTCCTTAGTCAGTAGGTGGGAATAATCATGCAGAACTATGCCCCACAGATCTCCTAATGGGTTGTCATCACCACACCCATCCTACTGCCAAGTTCTCCATTGGCAAGTAGGGCTCTGCTAGCAGTGGCATCCCCTTCCTAGTCCACTTAGAACCTTTAGTCTTGGCAATACTCCCAACAAGCACATGCAAACACATGCGTGCACATATGCAAGCACCCCGTGATTTCAAGAATTTAAAGAAATTAATGTATTTCCTTCCTACAAAAGGGAGCTGGGACCCTTCCTGTTTGGAAAGATGGAGACAAGTAGAGTTTCAAGGCATCAGGGAGTCCCAAGGAACAGGCTTTTCCAGGACCTTATTTCTTTCTTTTCCTATCCCTATTCTCTCTGACAGAAGTGGAAGCCAAGAGGAAGAGTCAAGCAAAAAGATCCCAGAGGTGGGTGGAACACATATATATTTTAGAAATGCAGAGTGTGGATACTGGGAATGAGGATGGGCATGCCCAGCTACACTACATCAGATCATTGGGGTTTTCCAGTTTTATGCAAAAGAGAGCAAAAGGCACCCGAAGTTGCCAGTAGATATGTACTCTCAAAGAGGAAAAGGATGAGAATAACAAAACACTTTCTTCCCGACTCCTGCTGTGTTCCAAGCGCCTCTTGAGACCTATCCCTTCCTTGTCCTTGTTTTTGGATGCTTGGTTGTGAATGAGTTACCCTACCTGCTGAGTCAGCTTCTGTTGAACCAAAAAAGTCAGAGCCACTGAGAGCCAGCCAACTGATGCTTAAACGTTTATGAAAGTACTTTCAGTCTTCTTCATCGTTGTTCTTCTTGTGGGATGATTGATCTGGACATTTGAACATGCCTTGGAGTATAAAATCCAAACTCCTTCATTTATACACATAGCCCTTCAGAATCCAGCTCTTGCCTGTTGCCTCCACCACTTCCTGTGCTCCACCCTCGCTGAGCTAAGTGTGATTCCCAAAATGACTCACACGGTTGCGTATTGCTCTGCCCTTGCACAGACTCTTGTTCCCCTTCCCTAGGTATCCCCTTCTGTCTTATGTTATCAGGCTTCTTTTCAACTTCAGCACCCATCTGAAGCATCAGGTGATGTCTGGAAAGTTTCTAGGGCAATTTGTTCATTTAGAGGGTACATTTAAATTATACAGCTTACTGAATGACCAAAGCATCAAAGCGGGACAGCTCCACAGTGTCACCCTTACTGGGACTCCTATTGCTTCAAAACGATGGGTGCATTTGAAAAGAATGGGTGCACTTGCCAAATAATACATTTGGTCCTCTATATTGAGTGGTTGGAGTGAGGCTGTGGCATGTAATTTCTCAAGCATCACTTCCCCTGCAAGACCTCTCCTGTTCTTACTCCCCACAACTGGCCTCAAGCCCTTTCTCTGAGCTACCACATCACCCATGTCATTAGCAGTCAGCATGCACCATTCATTCACTTTTCCATTAATACAAGCATCCATTTAACAAATGTTTGTTGAGTGCTAAAATAGACCCAAATTTAAGGCATCTAGCTGGGAATGCAAATACAAACAACTGAAAAAGTAACCAACGGGAACAGTCATAATGTTATACTGATGCAATGTTAAAGCTTTAGATATTGACAAAGATCCTGGTAGTGTACAACATAATCCAAGGAAGGAGAAATATTTTATTAGAGGCCTAGCCACTCTGGAACTCAATATATAATAGTAAAGGTTGTTGTAAATTCAAAGCAAAAAACAAAAAAAAGTCTCATACCGTTCTCAGATGTACCATCATTTAAAAACCATAGGAGTGGTGGTAATTATGACACCTTGGAGCTGTCTTTCTTTGATGTCTCAGTCACTCAGTAAGCCATGTAATTTAAATTGATCCTCTGAATGAGCAAGTTGCCCTGAAAATTTTCCAAGTACATGTTACAATGATAATGAGAGAGAAGAAGGAAGGAAAGGCAGGGGCATCAGGAAGATAGAAGAGGAGGTTTCGAATCAAGCACAAAGAGGGCTCAAAATTACATGGAAATTGGGGCCGGTCAATTGATTAGCCAGGGGACTAATGACTGTGTGCATGCTGCTCTGCAGGCTGCCATCGTTTGGGGCATCTTAAACGTAGAAGGGAAGGAACGCCCAATTTCACTTCAGGCACCCAGCCACAGGAACGTTCCCAAGGTCAAGCCCTTGCATTGTAAGTGAGACGTTATCTAAGGATTCCTCTCCACACCCTGATTCCTGAGGAGGGTTCACAGACTTAGAAACAATGACAGGCCTGCTGCTGGGCTTTACCGTCTGCAGCAAATGAACGTTCAGCCCTTGCCCTCCTGACCTGCTTGTCTTTGTTTCTGCAGAACAGTGCTCAGCATGGCGGGGATTCCAGGGCTCCTCTTCCTTCTCTTCCTCCTTCTGCTCTGTGCTGTTGGGCAAGTGAGCCCTTACAGTGTCCCCTGGAAACCCACTTGGCCCGCGTACCGCCTCCCTGTCGTCTTGCCCCAGTCTACCCTCAATTTAGCCAAGCCAGACTTTGGAGCAGAAGCCAAATTGGAAGTATCCTCTTCATGTGGACCCCAATGTCATAAGGGAACTCCACTTCCCACTTACGAAGAGGCCAAGCAGTATCTGTCTTATGAAACGCTCTATGCCAATGGCAGCCGCACAGAGACGCAGGTGGGCATCTACATCCTCAGCAGTAGTGGAGGTGGGGCCCAACACCGAGACTCGGGATCTTCAGGAAAGTCCCGGAGGAAGCGGCAGATTTATGGCTATGACAGCAGGTTCAACATTTTTGGGAAGGACTTCCTGCTGAACTACCCTTTCTCAACCTCAGTGAAGTTATCCACGGGCTGCACCGGCACCCTGGTGGCGGAGAAGCATGTCCTCACAGCTGCCCACTGCATACATGATGGAAAGACCTATGTGAAAGGAACCCAGAAGCTTCGAGTGGGCTTCCTGAAGCCCAAGTTTAAAGACGGTGGTCGAGGGGCCAACGACTCCACTTCAGCCATGCCTGAGAAGATGAAATTTCAGTGGATCCGGGTGAAACGCACTCATGTGCCCAAGGGCTGGATCAAGGGCAATGCCAATGACATTGGCATGGATTATGACTATGCCCTCTTGGAACTCAAAAAGCCCCACAAGAGAAAATTTATGAAGATTGGGGTGAGCCCTCCAGCTAAGCAGCTACCAGGGGGCAGAATCCACTTCTCTGGTTATGACAATGACCGGCCAGGCAATTTGGTGTATCGCTTCTGTGATGTCAAAGATGAGACCTATGACCTGCTCTACCAGCAATGTGATGCCCAGCCAGGGGCCAGCGGGTCAGGGGTCTACGTGAGGATGTGGAAAAGACAGCAGCAAAAATGGGAGCGAAAAATTATCGGCATCTTTTCAGGGCACCAGTGGGTGGACATGAATGGCTCCCCTCAGGATTTCAATGTAGCTGTCAGAATCACCCCTCTCAAATATGCCCAGATTTGCTATTGGATTAAAGGAAACTACTTGGATTGTAGGGAGGGGTGACACAGCATTCTTTCCTGGCAGCACTTAAGGGTCTTCATGTACTTATTTTAGGAGACGCTAAATTGTTTTTTGTCATTGGTGTGCACGTGTGTGTGTGTGTGTGTGTGTGTGTGTGAGAGAGATGTGTCATATAATCCACCTAATTTCTTAAGATTGCGAGATGACTGGCTTTATCATTTGAAAACCGGTTTGTGTATCATATCATATCATTTAAGCAGTTTGAAGACCTACTTTTGCATAGATTAAAAAAAATACTGATGTTTGGGGCAATGGAGAATATTTGACAATTAAGTTAATCCTTCACATTTTTGAAAACTTTGATTTTTATTTCATCTGAACTTGTTTCAAAGGTTTATATTAAATATTTGGCATACAAGAGATATGAATTCTTATATGTGTGTATGTGTGTTTTCTTCTGAGATTCATCTTGGTGGCAGTGTTTTGTTTTGTTTTGTTTTGTTTTTTTCAGTGCCTGATCATTAATGCTTCCATATGGTAGTGTTTCCATTTAGGAACTTTGACATTTCTTAGGCAGATAGAATATTTTGGATTTGGAGGCATTTGCACAGTAGTCTTTGAACAGTAAAACAATTTGTGTTGACTATATTGATGCACATATTAGACTACACCTTATAGTAAACCAGTATCCCAAGTGACTTTTAGTTCTGAAAATAGTTTCTCTTTCACTGCTTTGTAGGAAGCATTTGCATATGGCTCTCCCACCTTTAACGTCTTACCAGAGTGATCAAGAGTGTTTATCCCAATCCTTCCATTTAACAGGATTTTACTCACGTTTCTGGAACTAGCTATTTTTCAGAAGACAATAATCAGGGCTTAATTAGAACAGGCTCTATTTCCTCCCAGCAAACAGTTGTGGTCACACTAAAAACAATCATAGCATTTTACCCCTGGATTATAGCACATCTCATGTTTTATCATTTGGATGGAGTAATTTAAAATGAATTAAATTCCAGAGAACAATGGAAGCATTGCTCGGCAGATGTCACAACAGAATAACCACTTGTTTGGAGCCTGGCACGGTCCTCCAGCCTGATAAAAAAATTATTCTACATAGTTTTCAGTGTGCTTTCTGGGAGCTATGTAATTCTTCAATTTGGAAACTTTTCTCTCTCAGAGTAAAAATACTTGGAAGTTACTTTAAGAAAAGCAGTGTGGCCTTTGCCCCACTAGCTTTAAAAGGGCTGCTTTTTCTGGAATGTTCTAGGTTATAGCTAATTAGGGATAATAGTAAAAATGAAAATTGGGAGATTGCAAAATGGATCGGCATCATGCCTTCCAATGAAGGCCTTCACAAAGGTTTTTATCAATATGATAATCAAATCACAGCATATAAAGAAAAGACTTGGACTTATTACATGTTTTTATTGTATGGCTCTCAGCCTAAGCACTCCTTTCTAAATGTATCAGGGAGAAAAAAGCAAATAGACTACAAGGCACATGTTTTCTGTGCTTGCACACCAGGTAAAACTGCATTGTAGCAATTTGTGAGGATATTCAGACGGAGCACTCTTGCTTAGACATTCTCTGGGCGGCCTTTTTACTTGACATTCTTGAGCTTTTTGAAAGGATAATTCTGATAAGGCACTCAAGAAATGTACAACCACAGTGCTTGCTTCAAATCATGTAAGAAATACAATGCACAGCAAGGAGACGCAGAACCGCCAGGAAAATTCTGAGTTCCAGCACAGTTTGCTTTGGAATCTAACAGGAATCTAGCCTGAGGAAGAAGAGAGGTCTCCATTTTTATGTCTGGTATTTGGGGGTTTTGTTTGTTTTTGCTTTAGCTTGGTGAAAAAAAGTTCACTAAACACCAAGATCTGAATGGATTTTTTTTTTTTAATAGATGCTACTACTTTTATGAAGCACCTTGATTCCTTGATTTTTTGCAAAGTTAGACAATGGTACAAAGTCAAAATGAAATCAAAATTTAGTTCACAAGTAGATGTAGTTTACTAAAGAATAATACAACCCATATGCTATATGCAGCTTAACTCATAGAACCATAAAATAGTAAAATAATTCAACATGTCCATCTTTTTAGTGATAATAAAAGAAAGCATGATATTAAACTATCATAGTTGACAGAAAAAGAAAAAAAATGACTCATGGTATTATTAATACAATTAGTACTTTACATGTATTAATTACACACATTAGAAGCATATGTGCCTAGTAACGCTAGTAGAACCGCGTTTCCCAAAGTGTGTTCCTTAAACACTCGTGCCTTATGATTTTCTACCAAAAGTAAAAAGGGTTGTATCACCAAGTCAGAGGAAGATGCCTCTCCAGTTCCCCTCTCTTTATCAGAGGTTTGCATGCCTGTCTGTACATTAAAAGCTCTGGGAAGATCTGTTGTGAAGAGACAAGTTGAGGTTATAAAATCTGCATTTAAATAAACATCTTTGATCACAAAACCCTTCTTTTCTCATATAATACCTATAAGCAATCTGGTGTTCTAATAAATACATTCTGGGCATCTCTGTAACAGCCTTTTGGTAGAGGTGATAATTAGAAAGAATGATGAGTCCCAGTGGGGTCAGGTGTCAGTGCCTTTAGGGTTTAACCAGACCCTGTAATCAGGATTTGGACATCTTCACAGTGTGAAATAATAAATTTGAAAATTATCTGTCCCTGAGAATCAGAAGTATGTGGAAGAATTGGGGACACATATTTTACATAGACTTTACTCCAAATTTTGAATTTTGGGAAGGAGATAGTGTTTTTAAAAGGTGGGAAAATAACCTTAAAGAAAATAGCCTTAAAGAGGAAATACGAGCCAGTAAATGGCAAAGTTGTATGTGTATTCTTTCTTTTTACTGTTTTTGGACCAAAAAGGGATTGAAATACCAAGGTTATGCTCCCAGTTCCCTGTTCTTTGTGTAGCTCAATCTACCTGCTTGAAGGGAAGGGAGGCATGGAGTGATGCCTGGATCACGTATTCAAGGAATCACTCTCTCTCTAACAAACCCTACAGGAGGTCTTTAACTCAGAACTTGTTATGGATGACTAAGCCTGCCCTGGAATGATGGCTCTAGGCTACTGTCTGCTAACTGAAGGGTAAGTGGCAGCCATCCAGGGCGTACAGAGGAATTCTGACAGTGATCCCCAACGCTCACTGAGGGCTTCCTTCGTACTTTGCCTGGGTTCTGCTGCTGTTTGTGTCTGCAGTTTTTCTTTGTTCTCGTCATGAACCAGCTCAAGTGTGTCTTGAAGTTGCCTCTGTCCGTTGATTTCTATGGATGTTTGATAAGGTAGCCATTTCATTTATCATTCAGAATGGGATTCTTTTGAGATTGCTATGGATAATGAGGCTGGGACAGCAGTTGTACGCCAGGTATGTCTTGACCAACAAGCATGTTTGGTCACTTAGTTGTTAACCTTTCAAAGCACTGTACAGGTGCAGACTGGCAGCCATTCTTGCTAATCAAGGAACAGGTGGGGCGGCAGCTCCCTGCATTTCTCCTCTCTGGGCTTCCATTGTGAATCCTGTGATACCTTCTCTGCCTGGCTCAGCATTTTGAGGGCCTCCAATAGGGGAAGGGCATTTAAAAATCCTTTTGATGAGGTGGGATCACAGTACATATATGGTAGACAGGAAGCCATTTCTGCAAGATGAATGACACATCTGTTTTTAGTCTGGGGTTCCCCCAGAGGAGGAAATAAACCAGCTTCCAGAACAAGAGTAAACAGAGCGTGCCTGGGCATGGTGGCTCACGCCTGTAGTCCTACCACTTTGGGAGGCCGAGGTGGGTGGATCACCTAAGGTGAGGAATTCCAGACCAGCCCTGCTAACATGGTGAAACCCTTTCTCTACTAAAAATACAAAAAGTAGCCAGGTGTGGTGGCACATGCCTGTAGTCCCAGCTACTAGGGAAGTAAAGCAGGAGAATCACTTGAATCCAGGAGTCGGAGGATGCAGTGAGTCAAAGTTGCACAACTGCACTCCAGCCTAGGCAACAGAGTGAGACTCTGTCTCCAAAAAATAAATAAATAAATAAGAGAGAGAAAAAGGAAAAAAAAAAAAGAGTAAACAGGGCTGAGAGCTGAGATAGCAGCCTGGTATGGGAAGATGATGGCCTTCGAGTTGGGCAGACTGATTCCATAGTTGCCTACTTAATTTTGGCAAATAAATCTCAATGCAGTATGGTTTAAAATTTAAACCATCCTATATGGTTTAAAGATCCTCCCTCTTCTGGATTTCAGCTTCTCAGTGGGTCAGTTGAAGCAGAGGAAGAGAGAAAGGAGACAAGCATCTTTATCTTTATCACTGCGATGATGTTCTCTCTTCAGTGGTTACTGCTTCTCGGATAACGCCAGCTCTTCTACCCTCCTTAGCTCTTACCTCGGTGATATAACCCTCTGTCTCCTGCTTTTGGGGCATCTTTATCTAAAAGATAGCTCTCTCAAGTAGACAGCCAGCAAGATGCTTCAAGCCTGCTCATCTTCTTTCCTATTTGCACAACCCACAAGAAACTCATAGGCTTGCTACACCTGTGTGTTAGTAGCTCATTGAGCATCTGGAAGGGAACATATTCAAACCTGAATAAACTGAAGTGCAAGGGACCCTGGCAGGATCAAATTCATTCTGTTTAAGAGACAGATGGGTAAGAGTTCAAAAAAATAGATAGTTCAAAAAGATAGCCAGAATCTATCTTTTTCATATAGAAATTAAGGATTCTGGCAAGATCTTTTTAACTCATCCTACTTGCCAGGGGGATACAGTCAAAGGACTTTAGGTAGGAGCCCTGGTGGGGTCTAATCAGGACTGCTTTATCTGTGAAGGTACAGTAGGCACAGTGCCTAGGGCCCACAGCAGGTTTAGAGATCACACAGAAACATTTTAATTTATTTTAAAATCAGAAGAAAGTGAACTTTTAGAACTAATAAAATGTGTTAATATAATGCTAATGTATTTATTAACACAGTCATAAAATATAATTTTTAATATTTTTAATGGAGGAGGAGACCCATGAAGGCAAAAGTGCTTTGTGCCTATGAAAGTCGCAGTGCAGCCCTGAAACGAATTCATATTTTACAATATCTCTTCAGATGCTGAACGGAAAATGGATTTTAGGCAGTGGGAATGGGAAAACTAGTAATCCAGGTAAGAAATGGCAGAAACTTTAACTGTGGAAGTAGAGCATGTTGAATAGTGGTCATATCTGGAAGAGTATGTATTTGAAAGTAGAGCCAACATGAAAAGGTGTGGTAAAGGAGGAATCAAGAATGACTGCTAGGGGTGGGGCCTGAGCAACCAGGCAGATTCCAGGTACCATTTGCTGAGACGGGAGAGACTAAAGGAAGAGGATTCGATTCTTCTGTGGAAATGAAAACCAAGAATTCCTGCGTCAGTCATGTTAGGTTT